TGATAAACACGTTTAGATTGAATGGTAATTTATAATCAGTCACAAGAACGTCGAATCTGAATCACTTGAAAAAACACGGGGGTGCTTAACTTTTTTCCAGGTGTATAGATGTATTACCATCATCATGCTGAGCAGCTCCCTCTACCAAACAAACATCTGAATCAAAACCCGAAAATATAGCATACAAAAATGCCCCCTTACTGGATTATGAAGTATCGTGAACAATATACAAAAATACAAGATTACACTAAACTGTCCATTGACAAAGTCTTTTTGGTGGTTTTCTTCCCTTGTCCTTAATAGTCACGTGTTGTCTTGTCACTGAGTGAGGTAGGTGGTTGAGTGAATTCACTGGTGGTTCTATCTTTGGTGAATCTCTAGAAATTGTTTTGATAGGAACCCTGGGCCCTTCAGGAGGTTGGGTTTCCACTTGGAATCTCTTTTCCGAAGCTACCCATCTTGCCAAGGTACTTCCAAAAATGATCCTGGTGGATGACCTTTGACTGTCTGTTCTTCTGGATTACGTAAACTACATTATTGATTCTTTTCAATAAAATATATGTCTCATCCTGACACCTGCTTAACTTTGGAGTTCGTATTTTCTTATGGCAGATGTACAAACACACAATATCACTTCAACAAAATCCAGTCTTATCAGCACTAATATCATAGTGGCTTCTCATTTTATCGCTAAGTAATTTGTCTTTTCCAGGAAAAGTCATACATCAATAGTATTCCTTAGTTTCTCTACATATTTTGTGTAAGATTCTGCTGAGAAGCTATACTCTAGATGCAAGTACAAACAGTCCAATGGTGCTTTAAGTGATGATAGTGTATTGCCTGTAACTTCATATACTGCTGTTTGATAATTCGTAAGAGCAGATGAGGATTTTGATGTTTTCTGATATTTATTCACATAAATGGTCAACTGCTTTGAAAATGTACAGTTGTAACTCTCCACCATGCTGCCAGAAGATGCGTGAAGGGCTGTTGCCCTGGTCTTTTTAATTTCAAAGATCTGACACATTTCAACAAACAATACTGATTTCAAATTTTCGTGTCTTATTTGATTGAAGTTCCATAGGAACCCGAAATGATGAAATTAATTTGTTGAAAAGTTTCCTTGCTAGGGTTTCTGCTTTCTGGTTAGTTACAATGTTTCCATCTGGTGAAATAATCCATCAGAGTCATGATTTATGTATTTCTACCATTACTCTGTGGCAGGGAACCAAGCGTATCAACAACTACTCTCTCCAGTGGTGTTCCAAAACAATACTGCTGTAGTTGTCCGTGCTGTTCCTAGTTGCTCTGACAGTGAACAAAGAAATTAGGATTTCATAAATCATCTGTGCATATTACATATGACTAATTTTTAGTTTTACCATGTTCTGAGACACAGAACTATTATTTTTTGCCCATAATCTTTTGGTTGTTGGAATTGTGTAGAACTAAGTTACATGCACACACAGAGTTGGTTGAGTACTTTATACTAAACGATTTTGAATATGCAAATCAGCAGGTCATGTTGCAACCACAACTAGTATAGTCTCAGTGGAATGGAATGAATAAAACCATTTTTTTTACTCTGTTTAGCATTGCATAGGTAGTGTGATGCCACTGAAAATTTATCACTTTTGGTAATGGTATGCAACCTTTTCCAATGGAAAATATTCATACGCTCAGATCATAAAGATATGTTCATGTATGGAGTTCAGAATTTCCAAGATGGGATATTCCTTGTACTTATGGCATTGTAAAACCATGGAATATGGGTTAACTTGGAACATCGGTGGCATTCAGAAAGAGACCACTACAAGTTGTACCCCAGCCTAGGTAAGGAAAGTATGGTGTCTTTCAACAGATGAGAATCCATGAACACAAATCTTAATAGAAAAATTTGTCCATGTGCCCCAGGCAACAGTATGCAACATAATCAAGAAGGATCTCCATTAGGAAACCAGGTCAACAGGGTATGCTAAGATAAGGCTTCTAGTCATACCTTCTTTTCAATTGCAGTATACCTCAAGCAGCTAGATAATGAAATACCACTGGATCCATCACCTATGGATGTCTGTGCAATCAAACTGTTTAAAGAGACACTGAGAAACTGAAATTCTCATATATTGAATGGATTGTGGAAAGTCTGCAGAAGGAGTGGTGTTTTTTTTTTTTCCATCAGATAAAGCATGAGTGGACATGGCCACATACTAATATCAGTGCTGTTTATGTGTGTTAACAACTCTCACTGAACAAGTAAAGTTGTAGTTCCTGTAAGGTTTATATTACTTGGAGGAATACAGGTTTCATATATATATTTTAATTATTTGTTTCATAAATGTCCACACTTTTAGAGACTTTTGTTAAGACTGTAATGAAAATTTTTAGATAGCATTATCTATTTCAGTAAAGTAATTGGTAAAATGAGTTGAATTTCATTGGTAATCAATAATTTATGAGTTATGATATATGAAAAACAATAAAGTTGGAAACAAACATGTATATATACAAGATTGGAAATAACTGTGGAAGTGTATGTGATATACATAATCCATAATGAGTGAATGAAACTAAGTGGTCAATTTATAATTTGACAATATATTATTACAGAAAATACAAGTAATTTGTACAAGAACTGGTACTCTGTGTTTGCTTTAAACAGAGTAGTGCATCTATTTTTTATGCTACATAAGTTCATTTACCAATGTATGATAGTGAAATATTTGAAATATCCTGTATAATTTTCCACAAATCAACCATTTTGTTTGGTTTCTATTCAACCATCTCAGTTTCCATGTAAACCTAAACAATCTTAATAATATTAGATTGAAAATTTGTGCAGGCCAAGAATGGTTGTGACTACTCTATTAGCATCTTTTTTAATTCCAAGTATTGCTTCATCACATTTTCTGCATACTTGAGATAACTTTCTTGCAGGAAAATGAAACTCTGTCCAACAGATTTTATCTCTGAGGGAATGACCTGATGAATAAGAATATGTTGTACTTGTCAGTAGTCAGGGTGCCATCAATTTTGTGTGGATTTCCAATCCAGCTGCTGAGAGACAGCTCATACTTGTATTAATCCCTAACATGCTTCACTGCAGGTGTCATGCATTGACTGTGATACTGTTCCTTTCTCTACCGATAAACAAACTCTTATTGATTGCCGTCAAACAATTTGAATTAATCAACTTTGCTCATCCTATTGTTTGAATTGTGATGACAATTTCAGACTTATGGATATAAGCATTGATTTTTGTGCAGCTACACATTCACCGAGGCCACTTCTTGCTAATATCTATTTTTCTTTTATGGTGGTAACATTCACACCTGTACTTAGAGCTAGGGGCCTAGCCAGCTCTAAAGAGTGGGATGTGTGGTGGTCTCATTCCAAAACAAATGTGGACTTTTTCTTCTAATACACAAAGATTTAAGTGATTTACATGAAAGTCAAGTGTTTATTAAAATACAAATTCAGAAGATAGTGGACCTTTTAGCTTTTAGAATTTTGGTTATTTAACCCCCCATTGGCTATGCACCTGTTTACAGGAGGTAATTGGCAAGATCTTATCTGGATTGTAATGTATCATGTAAGGAACATATACTGATGTACTTAGCATGGTGTTTTAAGAGTTTGGTGTTTATGCCTCAAATTATTATATATATAGTGTTAGTTTCACATACCCTCTTCAGAGTTTTCATACAGCTCCTACTGAAACCTTAAATTTCATCTCAATCTGTTGCATGGAATAGCCTTCACCAAACAATAATTTGATTTCTACACAATTGTTATTTAGCATTTCTTTGATAGGAGTGATGAATGAAGTTGCCTAAATATGCTGGTAATAGTATGGCCCTCTGTACTTTATATGACTTAATGCTGTCATGACACTGTCTGATTGATCAATACTAGTGTAAACTCTCAACAGGTGACCGCACTCTGATGCAGTTCACTTTCATACAATCCCATAACATTTACATATATTTTCTTATTACAACTCACATGTATACAAGTTGATAGATAAATGAATGCAATTGCTACAAATTGAATGATTATTTTTTTCTAATGATATTTTCTGTACTTTGAATAATACTATTCTATTTCTTTACTCATAATGTTGATATATTTATTTAGTAATTCATTTAAAAATCTACTATCGTATGTAATTCTGAGAGAGAAGAGGAAATAAAAGGTATAAATATGACCTACACAATTATGACTAAGGGTAACCTGTTACTTAAAATTCATTTATCATTGCTTTATACGTACTTGTTTTAATAAGTTGGTTATGTTGATACTAAGAACTTTTTATACCTTATTTTTCTAATTAGGATAATTACAGACTTAAGCTGAAGATCAATTTATTTATTTCCTTTCATGCACATATACATAGCACAGTAGGCATAGCAACAAGTCATACAGACTTACAAACACAGACTGAAGATACAGGCAAAAATGACCAAATCTAACGAGGCACATCAGTTGAGGCACACTGCTGTAGTAAACAGTGGGTGTTATTTCAGAAGAAGAAACAAAACAGTACACTTAAAAGATCTTCCAAACATAAAAGCTTAGAGCTTATAACTGGTTCAATTTATCACATTAGAAAATTAATTTAAAAAAGCACATGACAGTTATATAAAGAGCATTGTATAGTCAGTGGTTTTTAACAACATTAGCTCAAACAATGACTATACAGTATATCAGCTTAGCTTACCTTAATACTCAGATCAAAGATCAGAAAAATCCCAATGAAAACATTTAATACATTTAGTTGCCACAGTTACAATAATACAAGAGGATCACCTGCATATCTGGTTTATTCACAATACATATATTTAAGTTAACCTGATTTACAAGATGACATTTTTAATCCCTGGGTAACATTGTTTCAAGTTGAATAAAATTACACAGAAGAGACAAAAGGACAATTTATCAATTTTTGTAATGCAACCTGCAGAAAACAATTTGGTTGCAGAAAGGAATACCAAAACTAATGATATATGATCCCTCCTTGTTTGGACATATTTTTACTCATCATCTACTGTTTTCTATGTATCTATATAATGACCATTCATGACTTTGAAATTTATTACCTAGCTGTCCAAAGAATATTCCACTTCTTATTTATTTTACTGTAAAAATTTGAATATTTTTAAGCTTATTAATCTTTCATCTGGTGCTCTTACTACCCTAAAAGGGTAGTCATTGATATGCTGAACAATATTTATTGTTCTTAAATATAAAGTAATCACAGATCTCATGACATTTATTTTAACCCCAGTTTAAGAACCCTAAATTAACCTTATCAAGACACAACCAAACAGATCAATGTTATTCTATTGAAGGAGGGAATCAAGCTTAGTTTCTTTCCAATAAATCAGAAACTTCAAAAATGAGCAATAGTAAAATTTAAGAGATTAAGTTTTATCTCTAATCTTTAGTAGACATCAAGACTAGAGTACTGGGCCTCCCTTAAATTGGGCAAAATAAAAAGCAATTAAGCATCTATTTTATATTAATAACAATAATAAAATAACCTTTAGTACTGATTGCAATTTTTAGTATGCTAGAGGTGTAAGTAGTAGATTACAACATCAGTTACCAATATAATGCTGATGTTGCTAAATATACACAGAGGAAAGCATTGTAAATGTCAGGTCAATATTTGATCAGTTAGTTTTCAAAACAAGTTTTATAACCAATATCAATCAGAAATACCTTAAAACACAATACTGATGCAACAATTTTTTTTACTGTACAATCAAAGTAAAACTCAAAACACACATAACATTTGCTAGATATTTTGGTTGCAAGGTAAAATGTTATTACAATCTCAAAAATAACCTAGCAAAACACAATTCAACTGCAGCTTTATTTGTACAAGTAAATCAGTACAACCTAAAACACAGTGAAAGAAGAATCATAATAACAACAATAAAAAAAAATTAAATTGTAATGACACTCAGTTTTATAACTTCCAATTTTTAATGATTAAATACCATGGTGTGATTTTCAAACACAAAAATTACTTTCTATCAAACTTTCATAAATGAACTCCTTAATTCCATGTATTAACTCTTCAAAAATGAGGTGCATTTCATAACAGCACCAGCCATAAAATAATCAGAGGTTCAGTTACATGGGTTATGAACTTCAATGATGTTCTACAATTTTACAACAGTACAAATTATTTCAGACAGTAGCATTACCAAAAGAACCTAACAACCATTAAGCCAAACTGGTTGTGGTTTCTTCTTTTTTTTTTGCTCCTACTGTGTGCAAAGTGTTTAATTTTTTTTATTGTTAAATTAAAAAACTTTGTTTTAAAAAACATAGCATGTGGTCTTCAGTAAACAATTTAAAGAATGAAAATATTGTTCCCGTTTTGGTTCAGTCCGGTTGTTACACCTCACTGCCTTTAGAGAGGCTTGTTTTAGATCCCTTTGGTGACTTGTTTTTGTCACTCTCTTCAGTCTTAGTCTTTTTCTCACTGTCAGACAGAATTTATAAAAAACTTTTTAAAAACACAAAAATTGCTAACAAATGATATTGACAGTAAAAAAAAAATTACAAAACAATAACAACAGATACATACCACCAGAATTATGAGATGCCGTTTGTGATATGTATACTTAAAGCAATAATAAAAACATGATGGTTATCTGAAAAGTTTGTTTTTAAATAACCTATGTTTGAGAGAAAATCTATCACTAAGAATTTTCTTCACATGATTGGTGCAGTATACTTATACATATTATTTTTTATCATTATTTCATCACTAAAGAATATTCTGAATTGTTGAATGATTTGAGTTAATTATTCAGCTTCCATTTTAAGTTTTAACATGTACCATTACCTAACAACTCCTAGTCATAACATCTTGGCTGAAAGCAGCTGTTTCATATAATTTCAACTCTTAGTGAAACCTACCATTAATTCACTTCAGATGTATGGTTTCCAAATACACTTCTCTTATAGATGATATCTTGCTAGCTTCATTTTATGCTAGATGGGCAAAACTAAAACAAGCACAATATTTTCTAGACAGTTGGCAGACTCTGCATAAAACCATTACAAGAAAAGAAACAACATACAAGTCTGTCTTCAAGTTCAACAGTGCCACTTACCTATTTGGATCAATCATTGGAGTGTCCTCACCAGTTACTTCAACATTCTCTGTTTTTTCTGTTTCCTCCTTAGACTCCAGAAGTTGGTCTTTTTTACTGAAACACAAGTAATCATCATGTATTTAAGCATTTGTCATTAACGTTCTGACTAACAAAATTACAGATGTAAAAATGCCACTAACAACATAAGCTTGTACTTCTAAAATATTAGCTCCTTGTGAATGTTTTGTGATTACTTTTTGTGTGATAACAATTTAAAAAAAAAATACTATTTTTATAATACCAAGTGATTCAGAAGTCCATTGACAGGCAAACAATTTAGAACTGGAAAGCCATAGGAAATTAATGGCAAGTGGTATGGATTAAGGTGTTGAGGGCCTACTTTATGACAATAATAGGGAGGCCATTCAAGGTCACGTTCTTCAAATGTTTATTAATATGCACCATACACCAAAAAATGTTAAAGGTTTAGACAATAACACATGAAACATTTAAATCAAAATTCCTTCAAAACAACAACAGTTATAGGTATACTACTATATGGTGGCTTCATTGTCAATATTGATTGCTGTTCTTCGTACACTCGGCATCTATGCATAAGTTAGTCTGTAGTAAACTTAAATAACCACTGATATATACACATTTCCTGTTACGTGAAGGATGCCGTTCCTCAGGGAACTTTTTGGCATACAATCTGGCAGTAGCCCAGCTATTCTGGTCACACTCCATACACTAGGGCCATGTTAAACTGTTCTTCAACTGTACCATTATTTACATGACTTGGGTTTAGCTGCAACACAATAAGGGTATGCTTATTTTAATACTTTTTAACCTTTTAGACCCTTTGAAGGTGCAATGTCCTGCTTTTGCAAAATTCTGACCCTGCACCTCAAACTTAAGGTTGCGTATGGCCAGATATTGATCTATCTGTGGCATAACCCCTATGTATTGAAGAGATGCAATTATGTCTATAACTGTTGTTCTTGAGAAGCATTGTTGTTAATATTAATATTAATAATGTTACCCACACACTGGAAAATATTGTCTGAAGGTATGTTATTTATATATATATATATATATATATATGTACACACATTTGCTTCCCATTGAATTGCACCAAAATAATCGTA